TACCTTCAGATTTCTTGAGCATTGTGCTCTTCGATTCTTTCGTACATGCATAATAATTCGTTTTATACCTTCAGATTTCTTGAGCATTGTGCTCTTCGATTCTTTCGTACATGCATAATAATTCGTTTTATACCTTCAGATTTCTTGAGTACTGTGTTCTTTGATTCTTTCGTACATGCATAATAATTCGTTTTATACCTTCAGATTTCTTGAGCATTGTGCTCTTCGATTCTTTCGTACATGCATAATAATTCGTTTTATACCTTCAGATTTCTTGAGTACTGTGTTCTTTGATTCTTTCGTACATGCATAATAATTCGTTTTATACCTTCAGATTTCTTGAGCATTGTGCTCTTCGATTCTTTCGTACATGCATACTAATTCGTTTTATACCTTCAGATTTCTTGAGTATTGTGCTCTTCGATTCTTTCGTAAATAAAAATTTTAACTTCATTTAGTTTTTCTTTTAAAAGTAGCATATTCTTCAAAATCGCCGTTTAATTGATCCAGCTAAGGCTAAAATAACAAATGGTTATAATTTAAAAGAACGCAATTGTATCGTCAAGGCTCAGTGAGTGTATTGAAAGATCAATTATTCAGGAAGAGTTTCACCAACAAATATGTTTAAAAAATGTGTGCATGATCACTTTCATTAGGCCGTCCTTCCTATTACTGACAAATGGACAAAAAGTGAAAAACTGTCAAATCAATGAGGAGTCGTCGTTGTCGTCGTCGTCGTCGTCATCATCATCATCATCATCATCATCATCATCATTATTTAATAATTAAGTATAAAAAATCATTTGATATTAATAATAACACTTTTATATAAAAAAGAATAAATAAATCCACGCAAACATTATACAAAAATAATTAAAGATGTAGACAAACTGATGTCTGATCTCATGTGGAGAAAGTCAATAATAGCCGGTTGAAGCGACAGAAATAATTTCGTGCATACGAAAATGTAAAAAGACGTAGTACGACCATCACAGCACAGTCCGTCTGTGCTATAAGTAGAATTCTAGACTTGAGCTACTTACATTATATCCATCATTATGTTTTGCATGATCTGCGGATGTTTCAAGTTACACAACCTCTATTTTTAGAACATGTATGTACACTGCGTGACCAAGTGTGCTGTATATCGACAAACAACTTTGTCTTTGTCAATTACACCTGCAGGTAATCTTTTCTTTTCTTTTTTTTTTTAAAAAAAAGACATCGCAGCTGCACATCATAGCATGTTGGTTCAGTGAAAAAGTTATGTCAGGACATCCCAGAAACTTGATATATAAGGACTGCAACAAAATATGACACATCAAGTCTGTATAAACATTCCGCATTAAATAGACCTATAGATCTGTGTAAAAGCAACAGCAGTCGAAACTCTAGCCATACAAGTATACACCTTTCTGTATTGTATTATATCAGCAGACTGCTATACTGGAGCAGGTAGAAAGGATTCGTATATCGAAGAGAACCTCTCAGAATCTTTGTCATCAGACATTGAAATAAAATTTTCAAAAAAAGCAATTTTCGACCAAACAATGTCTTTCCAATTTCGGAATACTGCAAATAATCAGAGAAGGTAAGGGGTCTAATCCACATGACCTGCGGGATGCATGCGGCCCGTCGAGTCGTATCCTGTGGACTGCAAAATGGTTGGCAACACAAGAAAAATAGCAAATGTGTTGCGACCCTTGGGCCATCCAAAATTCGCTCTTGCGGCCATCAGGGTGGTTGGAGATTGAAACTCCTGAGATAGATATTAAAAGCAAATCAAATTTCATTAACCTATAATATATATTTTTGAAATTAATCCGTAGGAATACTTGCATCTGCTCGAAATTAAGTAAAATAATGCAACCTTAAACACTCGTTTTCTATGTACAACATGACGCATCAACCTTAATCTGCAAGACTGTGGCAAATTGGCGGCGTGCAAAACTCACCAACCTCTTTCACTACGGTTCGTTGCTAGGGAATGACCTCCGCGGTGTAGTTTACCCAGTGTGGATAGATAGAAAGAAGAATGCAGATCACTGAACGGTTATATTGAAGAAATAACAATACGAGCCCCCTTTCAATGAACAAATATAAAATTTAATCAGTTTATCAACAGAATTTAAAATGAAAAGAAATCAATGACTTAGTTACAAAAGAAGGAAAAATGGTACTAACATGTACTCAAATAAAAAAGACAATACAAATTTCTTTAAATGTAAAATTGCTTTCAACGTTAAATTGCTATCCTCATTGCCAATGAGATGTGACCTTTGAGTGTAACGATGAGAGACTTCATCACCTAATTTATGCAGACATCAAGACTTCCGTTCGTCCCTGCTCTGTCGATCTTTGTCTAGCTTTTTCGTCTTGGACTCTTGTCCGTCGAACTCTGACTTAACAATCGTCTCTAGACTTAGATTTCTGCGTAGATCTTGGTCTCGTCCTGTGATTGTTCAGGGATTTCTCATGTGAATCCAGGAAAGCTGTTTCCTTCAATAAATAAAAATGTCTCGCAATAGACAATAGGTCAAATTCCCAAGTATATCTATATTTTACATTAATTCGGCTCAGAAAACAAAAGGCATAAATTCTGCCGCAGTAACTTCTGTTAGCTAACTGTTATATTTACATAAACGGTCGATGCTTGTCCTGACCTTAATTCGGGTCACGCTAGGGATGGTCAATTAAATTCAACTCAGCCGTATGAACCCGTATGTAACCTCCACTCGACTGCTGACTCTACCAATCTAGCAGTCTTAAGTTACATATGCTGAGACCCTCAGATCTAACTATTCTAAAATAGTTTACTCGACCAATTAGATATTACAAACCAGCATATAGATATACACTTAAGTGATCAATTAAATATTACAAACTAGTATATGAATATACATGTAATGTTAGGTCATACTCATTTTAGACAGAGTTAATCCATAAAACTATGAAATATTACCCATCATTCCTTAAACTTAATTCATTTAAATTCCTAATCACTCCTATGTATTCAAGATTCAATTAAATGCAATCTTTTCAACTAATCTAATGAAATTTTAATTACATTCAATCTTGCCAATTCTCCAAATGAATTGATAATTAGGAGATCAAAGAATAAATGTCATGACTAGCATTTCACTAAAATCCTGAAAAATGAAATAATACATGCATACATCATATCAAGAATACATTTGCAAAATAGATCAACAAATGAAATAACATATTAAAATCGGGAAACTAAGATTGCGTACCTTTTGCCGTTTCTTTATGTTTCCACGAACCTCACGTATAGTCCGTCTCCTAACTGAGAGAACTATCCGGCCCCTTACTCAATAACGAAAACGTACTTTCTACGAATTTCGGAGTCATACTAACTTTCCTTGCGAAAGATCGAAGACGACTAAAGAATTTCCCTAAAGTAAAACCTTTAATTTCTTACAGAGTTACTCCCATAAATCCATATTAACCAATCGGAATAAACAGTTTCCTAATTCTGTTCGTAGAATGTTTGGATTGACAAGAAAACTAAACAACTAATCATGCCGTAATTAATCCTTTACTTTGAGCTATCATCTACAGCCAGATGCCGCCTTTACCCTGCCGATTTTGGAGAAAGGACTTATGTCATTCTCTTGTACCATAGCATCTGACTCGGTCATGTTACGTCGGCTAGAACGAATTCCCTTTTGACGTTCAGAGATGAAATGAAAATAATCTATCTCTATCCCTTTTTACTATCTCTAGCCCTTTTTACTTTAATTAAGTTGACTTTGATACAATTCCTTTAAACAAAGCTTCTAAGAGTTTTCAAAATTCGACACATCACAAAGACGTTAGTTTTCTTACATATATTTTAAAAAGTTGTTGTTGTTGTTGGTGGTTGGGCTTAACGCCATTTTTCAGCAAACGATAGGCTATTCATGGCGGCCAGTATTAATGGTGGAGGAAGAAACCGGGAAATCACCGGAAAGAACCACCGACCCACGAGAAGCTACTGGCAAGCTTTCTCACATATCCACATTCGCCGAATCCTAGACTCGAACCCACGCAGACAGAGGTGAGATGGCAGTGATCCTTAACGGACAGCGCTTTAGACCACTCGGCCACTCGGGGCCCCTTTTAAAAAGTACTAATGTCAAACCTATTATTCCAAGTTCAATTTATGACTTTGTCGGTTTTGGGAAGCCTGTTAAATGTTCGGCAAAATAATCTAAGAAGACCGGTCACTTCTGGAAATATTATATCATAAGTACGTATAATATAACGTTGAACTAACGTTTTCGTTTTTGATCACATATGCGACAACCAAACGGTTTAAACCATTCTGTTTAAAGTCAATATCAAACAGAGACCGTGAAAGGAATTTTCCCCTTAGTTGCAGGCTTCAACTATTGCGTAATGTGAGTTAATCTGGTACCTTATACATGTTGCATAGACAAAAACCGGCAAATAGGACGATCCAAAGTACTTTGACATAATTCTTGTATTGCAGACCAACGATAATAACGTATGACGTTGTGATACTAAGCTCAAATCCTCACTTTTTACTGTACACTTCATCTTCAATTGACAAAGTTCTGATGTGATAATCTTATCGAATCAAATTTAGATTTCTGTATACTGTTAATGTTTTATATACAAAAGCAAAATAAAATACGTGAACACATGCTTACATCATACTGTATTAAATTGCAACAGCGACAAACTCACTGCCCTGCAGCTTAAAACCGTTTTGGCGTGTTTGTGTCTTTGGATTTTTAACATAGCTTTAACAATTTTGTCAGTATATGATGTATACAATGTGTCAGTCTATGATGTATACAATGTGGCAGCTTATAGCGATGTCTGACATCTGGGCATCATGCAGCAGACATGTAGTATGATATCCCGCCCAGACACATTAACCTGGCATCAAGTCGACCAGTTCTAACACTAACCTTTTGATGCTGAGTGCCTAGTGAGACAGCCGTTAGTACCAGTTTTATAAGTCTTTTGTATGGTTCGACCGGGATTCGAACCCACGACCTCCCGCATTGGAGGAGCATGCTTTAACCACTAGGCCACTGGAGCGGTCAAAAACCGTTTTGTTGCTATGAGCTAAGAGAAATAATATCTTTGAACCAAGTGACCTAACCTCCATTAATAATTTCTCAAAGGTTTTGTATATAACAGGAACTGAGATAACAGAACATAACGTTTCAGAGAGTTCTTTTGATTTTCTATTACATTTGTACAATGATATTTCTAACCCTTCTTGTAACATGCAGGTATTTAAGACTTATCGGTCAGCTAAGTTTGTCAGACACTCTATGAGGTAACCACTGCCGAAGATCAACTGTTTATAGCAAATTCGATCATGACCTTATGATTTTGATTTCTTAATAAATGTTAATGTTTTAATTTTCTAAGCTTACGCTGATACTATTCTGAAAGGCTTTAATATGGCCTGCACCATCTTGCAGAGCTTGTCTTGATTCCCGCTCAGTAAATGGGAGCATCATTACACATACAAACTACATCAATTAAGGTATTTTTACCTGTCCTAACGTTAATGAGTTTCCAGAAATGCCTTATATCACAGTCATGTTCTTTTTCAAATTCTACGTATAATTTCCACATATGTTTCCATCGCTTGTTTTGCAGGTTTCTGAAGTCTAACTTCTTAGCTTTTATAAACTCTGTAAATATTATATTCGCCGCAACTAGGTCTTCCCTCGTTTAACCAAATAACATAGCTTGTCTTTGAAGCTTATGCGCTTTTAAAGTTCATCTGGCCATTATGGCTTGACATTTTAAGTGAATTTAGACCTTGGGAGCGTGGTGTCGCTAGCCAACTTTCTGATATATTAACCCTATATACACCTTGGAAGGGGCCCCGAGTGGCCGAGTGGTCTAAAGCGCTGTCCGTTACGGATCACTGCCATCTCACCTCTATCTGCGTGGATTCGAGTCTAAGATTCGGCGAATGTGGATATGTGAGAAAGTATGCCAGTAGCTTCTCGTGGGTCGGTGGTTCTTTCCGGTGATTTCCCGGTTTCTTCCTCCACCATTAATACTGGCCGCCATGTATAGCCTTTCCTGTGCTGAAAAATGGCGTTAAACCCCACAACAACAACAATACACACCTTGGCGGATAGAGCAGATATTTCTTTGTTTCGGATCTGCGAATTTCATTAAATGCAGCGGCAAGCCACTGCATCCATGTTAAACCTACGAAGTATTCTTTTGAAGTGAATTCCCTCCACCATTGGTGTTGTAAGCTATTGGATAGTTGGCATTACACAGTAAGGGATGCAACTCATTAAATCCAATAGATGTCGCTAGGACAAAACACTAAAATATCTGCTCAATCCGCCAAGGTGTAGATAAGGTTAACATATCCGAAACTTGGCTACCGAAATGGGTGTGGCTTAACTGTTGTATTGTGGTAATAATTGAGCAATAAACTCTATTAACATTGTCTGGAATAGCGTCTATATTCAAAGTTTCAATGCCATGGTCCAATTCAGTTTCATAAATTTTCTACACAACAAATGTGCACAAATATGAGCCAATACATATTGTTAATTAACAAGCTCTAGCTAGATTAATATATCTCAAGAACTAGTGAAATGCATTATCCTTGTATTTTTTAAATGCATATCGTTCAGCTTTTGTACTAAAATCCCCAGTAAAAAAACTTACTGAACTGTGTACATTGACAATAAAGATTTTTAATCTTCTAAATTAGCGCCCTGTAAAATTCTATGCCAATAAAATAAGATTAGCATATATACACTAAAATATATTCATTATGCATATCTGAAAATTTGAATTCTTTGCCAACAATTCTGTAATTATTAATGCCATCTTTAAAGTTAGCATATCTCGTGAGAGAGGTTTTACAGGAGATTTCGAAGCCTTGTTTACCACATTTTGTCAAAGTCTCATCAGGGGAAATATATCTTTTCACTTAGCACCGCATTTGTAATTAGAACGAATAGAATCGCAAAACGGAAGTAATGCTGAAATAGTTTATGCTGAGTTATGCATGCTAGATCAATACGATATTTATCCAACATTGTACTAATGATACGGGCAGACAACATCATTCGTCACTAAGGCTAAGGACAGATGACATCATTCCTCACTAAGGCTAGGGACAGACAATATTATTCCTCAGTAAGGTTAACGACAGACGACCTCATTCCTCACTAAGGCTAGGGACAGACAATATTATTCCTCAGTAAGATTAACGACAGACGACCTCATTCCTCACTAATGCTAGGGACAGACAATATTATTCCTCAGTAAGGTTAACGACAGACGACCTCATTCCTCACTAAGGCTAGGGACAGACAATATTATTCCTCAGTAAGGTTAACGACAGACGACCTCATTTCTCACTAAGGCTACGGGTAGACGACATAATTCCTCTAACATTTCAGCTCAGTGTATTTTATTTCATTTTAACTTTAGATATACCTCTAAGCATCTCAATGTTTAAATAGTGCAAAAGCAGGCAAGATGACTAAACACATTACGACATGGAATATAAAAACTCGAACCTTCATTTGCCTCCTGATCGTGAATGTTAAATCGATCTCGCCAAGAATTATTCCAAACCACCTCCTTATATAAGCACCCTTTTTGGCGTGTTGCATCATTTTCAACGTTATGGCATTGTTAGTTATACACATTGCGAGCTTGGTAGCTAGACACTTACGTATACGGTTGATAAACGCTTTAGAGGTCGAATCTATATCGCATTATTCCAAGAATTTATTAAGCGTTCTATCTTCTTTTCCATCCAAGTCAGAATTTTAAAAAAATTATTTTAAAAAATCGTATTCTCTACAGAATCACTGTTCAGAGTGCCCGGCGAACAATAAAGTAACTTAGAAGAACTCAATTGTGTCGTCAGGGTTCAATTAATATGTTCAAAAGTTGATTAAACGGGAAGAATCTTACCGGAAAAAAAATTGTTGAGCACGAAAATTTTCATAAGACCATTCTTGCAGATATTTTTCTCTGACTGATAAAAAAAGAACAACACAAAAGAACGTTCAAGCAGTTAGTGAGAAAAAAAAAATACAGCAATTTGTTACTGCAAACGTCTTGTAATTAATGTTTTCAGATATTCTTTCTTTCCGAAAAAAAAAACAGCGGCAATTTTAAATCTAGCAGGAACCCAAGATAGTTAAATCAAAAGACCTAAAAAGTGACTGTCACAGATTGTTTTTCCGGTCATAAGTTACACTTTTTGCGATGCAATCTTATGTTAAAATATAAATAATTACGATTCATAAACGTTAATATTTCAGATAAAAATGGTTTTAAATATAATCAGAAGATCTGACGGGAGACTTTTGTTTTACACAAATCGTTTATTTTTTCTTCGTATATTTGACTGTATTTGCTGCAATCGTGTAAACACGCACGTATTATTATAGGGGTACGAAACACTTTGCAGTTAGCGTGTCCCTAATTGATGTGGATTTGTAAGTCGAGCATATACAACTTCATAAAAAATTGACACGAAAAAAGGATGAGAAGTCCTTCTTGAAAGACTCTTGTCAACAAATATCTGATTTTAGTGAGGCCTGCGGGGCGTTTAAACCGGAACAGCACCAGACGTCTGACGAATTCTCGAAAATTCTTCAGTCATAAATTATTCACAGATGCTCTTTTGTGATTTAAACGAATAACATTGGAAGAAAAATCGTTAAGCTTTTGAGTTTGCAAAATATTTTTTCTTCAAAAATGCATCAAATTGATGGTAATGAAACATACCACGTAGGTAGATAGAATATGAGATTATAACTCACATTTACAATAAAATCATCATGTTATAATTTCCATTAGTGTGCACAATGTTTAGTAAAGTAATATCAAATGCCAGAGCATCAATGCAGAGAGAGAGAGAGAGAGAGAGAGAGAGAGAGAGAGAGAGAGAGAGAGAGAGAGAGAGAGAGAGAGAGAGAGAGAGAGAGAGAGAGAGAGAGAGAGAGAGAGAACATATCATTTGTACAAGGTTACGGCAGATTTCGTAGTAGGTACAGTTTAAAAGTTGATTTCGTATTTCATACTATTACTCTTTTCTCTTTCTTTCTCTATTCTTTCGACCAGCATATATTTCTTTGCAAATTGATCCCTAATATAAATATTCCAATTACGAACTACACTGCAATACTTGGCCACATGGCCACATATTCTTGTCCAAAAATGCACCTGCTGTCTAATATTCACGCATTTGCTTTTTATTATCTTTACCAACATCTTATGTTTTCAAATTAAAACTGCACATTACATAGCTAAATTTAGTCTGTAATTAAAAATATGCTACTAGAACTCGAACTTTAAAACTCACTGACGTGCATGAAACTATTTGGGCGTAACACTCGAATTTACCGCCTTACACGATCATTCTTATTTTTCAAATGTTCTTGCAGACAACTATCAACCGCCATTTTCGAACAGCGTACAGAAAGTTGATGCTTTTTACTCATTGAATACCGCAATGAGTTAATTATCACTAATGTTCTGGGGTAGTTTTTAAATTAGCCGTTGTTAAAATAATGCTAGTCATGCGCGAGTAGGGAGACAGATTTTACTAGTTAACTGCGAAGGATATCGGTTTGCTACTTTAGACCCGTTGAACACAACACAACTCCAACACACACACACACACACACACACACTCACTTGAACTTTGTCGTACGTTTAAAAATGTTTGGATTGCGTTTTGTTTGTCTGTCAAATACATCATAAAAGTTGGATAATACAGAGACTATAAATAAAATTTTACAGTTTAAATTGTTATGTCTAATATAAAAAGGTCGTGCTTAGAACGTTTCGGGATTAAAGAAGTCTAAATTTTTAAAACTGATAAAAACACTAGATATATTCAGGGAAATTTCAGTGCAAATTGACAAAAATGTCCATTAATTTCGATGCAGGGTTCTGCTTCCATTCAAATAAGCATGAGAAGGAACTTGAGATAACAAGATTTGTAATTTTTATTTCTCTATTTTCCTGAGTTTGTAACATCTTTGATGCAGTTCTATAATGCTGCAGAGCAATGATTTTTTTTTATCGAAGG